GGAGGGACCGCCCGGAAGCGAGAAGAACTACACGTGGTGTTAAGTTTAAAAAGGTTTAATGAACTCAGCAATTATCTTAAGTGTTTACATGGTTTTAAAAAAGTCCTGAAGTGTTGTACGTGGAGTGACGTGGAAGAGGACGAGAGGTGCTGCCAAAGTTAGTAGCAAAGGCGGTGGAGGCTTGAGGTTGCTGCCAGGGATCATGGTAGCCAGGGTTGACTAGGTTCCTGGGATCTTCGCCTGTGCTTGTGTGGGAGAAGGAGGAGGGGTGTTGATGCTGAGGGGGTTGATGCTGAAGAGACTGGATGTAGCGGTAGTCTTCTTGATCGTAGCGTCCTCGTTTGGGCGGGGGWCCTACAGGTTGTGGCGCCAGTTGTTGCTGAAGCTGTTCGCGGGAAGGGATGACTTCATCACACCAGGCAAAGTAATCGCAAGCCACATCCGGGTAGTTGACCGAGCACGCGAGAAAGGTGCGGTTCTTGTTTTTCTCGGAACTGCTGACGTTGACTTTGGCAAACATGTTGTGTTCGCGGCACTTGGGAAGGTAGTTGGGATCAAGCCCAAAGAGACGGTTGTCTACGGCATTGTAGAGTTCTTTCTTTATGTACATTTTACATCCCAGCCTGGAAGTGGCATAAACGCGCGCTTTATCGTCCCTGGTTTTGGCGCCCTTGAGACGTTCAGTGATGGCCTTGTAATCCACCTTGACGCCACACTTGAAGAAGGTGGCATTCTTGGTCTTGATGACGGCACATGGCGAACCACAAAAGCAGGGATGGTTGACTTGACTGTATTCGTCTTGAGGCGGGAGCGTTTGTGGAGAGGACGGCAAAGTGGATGGCGGCAAAGTGGGAGGCGGTTGATACTGTTCTTCAGACATCGTAATCTTGGTCTTGGTGTAGGCTTTCTTGGTCTGACTCTGGATCGATGTGAGGTTCGTCGGAAGAGGGGTCTTGATATAGCTCCTCAGTGTGGGGGTGGGACTTAGGAGAACCAATGGAACGGCTTTCACGTGGGGGTGAATTAGGAGGGGGAGGAGTCACGCCAAGCAGGTGACTGAGGATTTTGAGTTGTTCTTCTCTGGTGTAAATGGGCGGTCCGTGGACGACGTCATCAGACCATTCACGTGGTGCGGTGATGATCTGGGCGTGGGCTTGGCTTTGCGAGAGCTTTTGCCGGATGTTGATTTCGGAGTCCACGTGATTGCGGGCTTTGCGAAGAACGTCCCACGTGGTGTCGTCATAATTGTCTTTGGGAACGGTACAGGTAAAGGTACACCACGGATACTGTTGGTTGCAAATGAAAGTAACGTACCGGGCGTGAAACGTAGAGGTTTCTACGGTACAGTGTTCGCTRTCGCGGTCGGTGAAGTAATAGGTGCAGGGTTTACGACAAAGGCAGTGAGGCAGCCGAGGATTGCGACGTCCGCTCATGTTGAAGTGGAAGCGAGGTGTGAGTCTTTGACGAGGAAGGAGCAGGACTTGAATCCGTAAAGTAATAGGCACCAGGTCTTCCGTGCATGCGAAGAGGCAGGACCGCCTGTGGGGTGGCGGGAGGACGAGGGATCCCTTTCTTTGGGAAGGTGAAGAGCAGGTTGGCTTGACGATGTTGACTCATGATGAGGTGGTGAAGTTGTGGCGTAGGTCGTGATACAGGCGATGTATTATTTCGGTGGGGGTCAAGCGTAGGGCTTCGTACGTGAGACGTTCCCAACACGAGGTCATGCAATAGGTGGGGAGGTTGCAGGAGTCGTCGACCAGGTCACGTGGGTGGACGTCAGAGCAAAGGATCTTGCTGACGAGGCTGCTGATGGCATAGAGTTGATTGCTTTCTTGACCTTGAAGGGGCGCGGAATGATGTTGAGGATGAAGGCGCCAATGACGGTAGAAGCTGCGCATGTGCATGAGTTGGTTCTTCCGGCTGGACCAGTCCACCCAGGGGGCGGCATGGGTATCTTCGGACAGG